TTAGAAGTTAGCCTAAACTGGGGTCTATTATTAATTTTAGATAGATGATAGATAGATAGATAGATAGATAGATAGATAGATAGATAGATAGATAGATAGGATAGGATAGGATAGGATAGATGATAGATAGAAGAGAGAGATAAGACAGAGAGATAAGAGAGAGAGATAAACAGAGATAGAGATGGACAAGAGAGATGAGAGATGGAAAGGAGAAAAATTATCTCTCTCCCTCTCCATCTGTCCAGAAATTCAGAGCAAACAACATCATCAAACAACTACAAGAAGCAAATACACAGTAGGCAGTAGAAAGGTCAGGAAGTTTCATTACGTACACATAATAAAAATAAAAACTGTTCAGACAGTTTGGGAACAAGAGACATCACAAGTTCAGCAAATACAGAACTACTTGCATTGTCCAAGAAAGGGTCATCTTGGAAAAAAAAGGGAGTTAAAATACAGCTGTCTGGTGTTTCAATATTTAAAAGGACCTAGGACCAGAAGCTCCTAGTCTCCCACCAAACAAAACTGGTTCTGTTTGAAATGAATTTTCATCACTGAACTACTTGAAAAAGCAGCCGACTTCATAGTAAGATTTTCAGGACATTTCTCCCCACAATATGGTGTTTCTATTTTTCTGTTCTCTGTTCTGTTCCTTCAAATGAAAGATGCAAGCATTATAGATTTTGTGCCTCTGTCTTTCCTTCAGGATCTGAGTTAAGATAAAGAGAGTCTGAAGTTGTTGAAAGTGACTCCACCAAGACCTTACAGATAGAACTAACTTCCTCAGTTTATACTTGCTAGAATCCTAATTCTCACCTAGTTGTGCAGAACAGTTGTTCAGAGCAGAAGTTATTTTCCCTTCCCAAAATAGATCTTCTGCAGTTGTGTGAAAGTTACTTTCGTTTAGAGGAAAGTGGTTTGTCAAACTGAGAGAATGCACATCTAAAGCACTCCAAAAGAGAAGCCTTCTAATCCCTTCCCAGATACTACACACATCAATAATAGAAATGAAAATTAAAAATCTGTACTACTACATAATCTTCTTGTCCTTTAATCAGCATTGTTAGAGGATGAAAGAAGCTGACACAACCAGACTGGGAAGGAATATCAAGAACAGATGTGTAGTCGTATGAATGTAGCTGCTATGCTATAAGATTAATTTGAGCAGTTATCTTGAAAGCTGTTATGAAGTGTGGGCTTAGGTTTCTAGTCTTGAGCATAAAAACAGTAGATGATTCATGGAAAATCAGACTTGTAACCAGCTATTGGGGGGGGGGGGAGTTCCATTTTCTTTTTTCTGGTCTGTATAGACATTGCAGTCTTGTTAGGCCATTCTTGTTCTATCCAGTGTGTCTAATTCACTGTAATAACTGAGGAAAGAATAATTTTATTGGGGGGGAAACACAAATGAAAACCTGGAGAATTTCTGCGTAGAATATTGCTGTTATATGACAACAGGCTTACTGAAAACTAATGTAAGTACATATATTGCTCCAAAGTGGCATTGACATTTTACCTAACTACAGTTATACAAAATAGACAACTTGAATATTATAAACAATATCTTGAATATGTTGTGCCTGAAATTTCCAAGAAATTAAGAACTTTTGTTTATGGTTGTATTCTGTGAGACCACATAGGAATAAAGATACTTCAGGAATAATTGTACAATTTCATAACTATGCAAAATTTAAATAACTACTAGCTGGTAGCAAGGAAATACACCAAAAAAACCCCTCTCTTTGTTGCTATCAAGCTGTCATCCAGATTTTTTGCAGTTCACATTTCATGTCCTTACTTCATGAGCTGTGGGCAAGGATTAGAAGGAAAGTGGCCACATTGAATTATGAACAAAACTGTATTTTGACTTATATTTGAAAATAAAGTCCAAAACAATTAACTATCTGTGCTTGAGGACAGAAGCATAAGAAGACATGTACGCTAACCAGGCCAGCAGTTCACTCACCTACATTCGAGATTGTGGTGCATTTGATAATTTCTACACTGGAGGTCACTGGAGGTACAAATTCTTGTAGAATCAGAAATGTCCAGGAGTCAGATGATCATGATGTAATTTAATCTGATTTTATAATCCCATGGGTTATTTATTTGGATTTAGCGATAAGCAATTTTGGATAGAGTACAAGGTAAAATGGAAACTGGCCTGGCTGAACATATTCTCACAATTTGACTTGTTAATAATTCTTGTTACTGTAAATATATATTATTTGAAACACAAGTGAAGATTCCAGAAAAGAATAGAAATTCTCCAAGTGCAAGATGGTGCCTTCCAGGACCCCTTCATAGGTTGAACTATTTAACTTGAGTTTATATATACACTGAAGACGGCATTTAATTTCATTGTACCATGGGCAATGACAATAAACTAACGAAACTAAACTCTATGACAAAATATGGGCTTTTCCAATAGTACTGAATATCTGTAGCTTGGATGTAAGATGAGGGGGAAGGTTCATTCTATGAGCTTGTGCTTTGGTTTCCGAACATTTCATTACCAGGCTAGGTAACATCTTCAGGAGGGGAAGGGAGGTGGAGTCTTAGGGGGGAGGGGGGAAATATAGTGTGTGCTAGATTTTAAAGTAACATGATTGCACTTGTATATTGTTGCTCTTTAATTCTAGTGTAAAAATAGGACAAGCTGAATATATTGATAGATTGTAGAAATACACCGAAGGGAGGAGCAGAGGGAAAGAAGAAAGAGGGGTAGAGAGGATTGGTTGTCAGACTCCCATGGGGCCACGCAGGGGCAACTCT